AGAAGTGCCTAAAGTGAAAGACTGAAGAGATTTGGGGGCCCAAAGCCCCAACTTTGGGGAGGCCTGATATGATGACAGGGCAATTTATAAGCTGAAGATGTCATAAGCAAGGAGGGAACAGAATCTTAGTTTCCTGGGAGCCTGGGAATCCTGTGGGATCTGGGCCACCCAGGGGTTAGTTATAGGTCAGACAAGATTAGAGAGACACAGAAGCACATCAGACAGAAGAAATTCCTGCAATTCAGAGCCAGTCAGCATAAGAGATAGAGATGGGAGAGGTGGAATCTGCGCTGAGCTCACACTGCCCACCATCTGAAGGGACAGGAACATTCAGGATGTGAGGGAGTTGGAGGGAGTCTCTGCATTAGCCTGGGGGGTGGGGAGCGGGAGGATGAAACCTCAACAGTTACAGTAACAAAGAAAATTATAGAAGCAGTGTATGTGTTTTCTATTGCCACGAGAGCAAATGATTATAAATTTAGTGGCTTTAAAACAACACAAATGCGCTCTCTTTCATTTCTGTAGGTTAGAAGTCTGACACGGCTCTCCCTGGGCTGTGTTCCTTCCTGGAAGCTCCAGGACAGAATCCATTTCTTTGCCTTTTCCAGCTTCTAGAGGCTCTTACACTCTCGTGCTCCAACCCTGCATCTCCCGGGCCATTCCTCCATGGTCGTTATCTCCTGATACTCTCCCATCTCCCTCTTCAACTTTTAAGGACCCTTGTGATTAGATTGGACCCACCCAGAAAATCCAGGATCAGCTCTCCTTCACAAGGTCCTCAATTTAATCACATCGACAAAAGTGACGTGACAGATTCACAGCTTCAGGGATTAGGTAATAGACATCTTCCAAAGACAATTTCTCTGTCTGCCATACTCAGTAACTAAAGAACTGAAAAGGAAAAAAAAAGAAGAAAAGAATCCTCAAACTGCTATCCACCATACAGTGGAGAAACTGTGTTTCTGAGGCGAAACCGTCAGTGTATGTGGGATTTGTAACTCCAATCAGAAGGCTGTCTTAACAGGGAAAGAAGCCACACTGCACGTGGCCACGGCCCTGCCTCCTCCTGATAAGATCCCTGGCGGCTCCTCTCCAGGCAAGGCTGGGGCTCCAGCCTGTCCTTTTTAGGGTACAAAGATGTGGCTTCCACCAATGCTGACCCTACCATACCCTTGAAACTAATCTGTGTTGTTTCCTGTGAAGGACAGTTCACAGAGCCAGGAAATAGAGGTTTTAGGATGAGAACCACTTCTTCTTACTGTGAGGGGCGATGCTGCAGGGGAAATGCCACGGTTATCACAGTGACATGGGGGCAAGAGCCCAATAGGAGCCCTCCAGGCTCCCCGACCCAGTCACGTGGTGGCGGTAAAGAAGTTTAGAAGACAACAGTGGACGAGGAAGGAGCTCGCTGCACATCAATGAAAGAGCTGCGGACGCAGAAGTGCCTAGAGAAAGCAGCCCGCAGGCTGTACACGCTGCCTCCCACTCAGGCCAGTTTGTCCGAAGAGACTTTCTGATGACAAGTGTCGGGGACTGAGAATGACGCAGCCTGGAGCCTGCGGCAGTAGGATGCCTGGTATTTTGATTGGCAGTTGCCTGACAGTTGCTGTGGCGGCAGACTGCTCAGGAGCCACACGCTCTGCTCACGACCCGCGGAAAAGGGCCCTTTGGCGATGAACACCAGTGGGACCAATGACCAGCTCTGCGTCACACAGGTGAAGACCGCAGCCGCCTGCATACACCATCACCCAACCTCTGGAGACCGCTTACCCTGGCCCAGGGTACCACTGGGTGTCAACTACAGTGATCCCCTTTCTGGGTACCACACAATAATTCCCACTTGCAGAACAGATGTAGGACATGCCATTTGAGAACTCCTGAACGTGCTGCTACATATCTGAACTCCCTGAACACAACCAGTCAGATAGCGATGCCTCCCTCGTGGTCACGAGTGCCAACATCTGGCATTCATGTGGCATTTCATGCCCAGTATCACCCACAGACAATAGAAGCCATGAAAAGATAAAGTGGACTCTTTTTGAAAAACTGGGAAAATAATAAGTGGACCCTAATCGTGACAATTTTCCAGAAATGTACCACCGTTTAAGTACACTATTTAATTAGGACGGAGGATGAGAAAAGGCCCACTCTGCCTGCAAGAGACCCCAGCCACACAATGAGACTTCTCCCACCTCCATTTTCCCCTCCTGTGCCCACCTGCACAGGAACCCGGGCCACAGGGTCTGTGGGAGGCCGAGCCGAGCTGGGGACCAGGCAGCTTGGGGACATAATGAGCATGAGCACCAGGTGACAGCTCCTAGGGTGGTCCTGCCGGCATGGCCAGCATGATCTCAGGTGCCATGTAATAATCTCCTAGGGATGGACCCATCCAGAGTAAGAAACGGCGAGGATTTTTTAAAGGGTTAAAACTCCCATGCTGCAGGGACAGGTCATACAGATACTGACCATGGGGCCATGAAAGGACAGCTGTTCTGCTGGTGGGAGGAGACCTCAGACCCTCTGGAGGTCAAAGATGTTGTGGGGTGGGGTGGGCGGCATTAGTGACTTGGCTGTCACCTGCAGGATCCCTGGCCCAACCTGTCTTCTGAGAATGCTTTGACAACCTCATCCCAGACCATCACCATGCCTTCCGATCTGAGTCCTGGACACCCGCTCTTGAGACACTCTGAACGGAGGACTGACTGGGGAGGCAGGATGGCTTCCACCAAATGATAAAACAATACTTTATAGATGCGGATATGAACTCCCTTGGCTTCACCTTATTACGGCTGGGGCCCTGTGGTTACTCTCTACTGTCAAAACAAAAACAGATTCCTCTTGTGTGCTTCCTGCAGAACTGAACTGGTTGCTGGCTCTGTCACTGCCAGCCCCCACCTGGTCCTGCTGGTGGGATCACCCCCCTCTCCTGGTTTCTTGCCAGCTCCCCTTGGACCTGAGCCAGGGAGGCCTCCGCCAGGGGCACTTGGTCAGAACTCGGGTCCAGCTCCCCCTTCTCTCTATGTAGCAAGCAGAGGGAGCAGGTGAACTGCTCCCTGGTGAACTGGGACAAGCAGAGGTCCCTGGTGAACTGCAGGGAAGCAGGCACCCACCTGTCATACACCAGTAACATGATGGAGCAGGGGAAGGGGCCCTAGAGAGGGCTGGGGAGCAGGGAGACTTCTGCCTTGGGACACGGGGCTTCATAGGAGCGTGGCCTGTGAGGATGGCGCAGACTGGGACCCAGTGAGAACAGAGGAGGACATTTCTAGGGGAGAGAGCAAGAGGCAGGAGCTGGAGAGCAGGGAAGGCAGCAGACAGGTTTGACTGTCGAAGGGAAGTAGTCGGGGTGGGGCCGGGGGCAGGGGAAAGCAGGGGCTGAGAGCTTGCCTGAGAGACTGCCTGCAGGGCCAGGGCAAAGGTGGGTCTCCAGAGTCAGGGCCGCAGTGGGAGAAAAGTGGGGTTTGGGTTGTGTGACTCAGACACATCTCCTCACTGAGAGGCCATTTGCTAACTCTTAGGTGTCTCTGTCTTTCTCAGCCCGAAGTCTAGGCCCTTGAAGGCCAGTGTGGCCCTTCAGAGCCTGTCAGAACTCCATCAGTGGGAAGCATCTCCCCTGGCTTCTCTCTTCTCTGGCCCTGGTGAACACAAGTCTTGATTGAGACAGACTGTGAAGAATTCTACCACTTTCTCGCGATTGTTGCTGAAAGCAGAATCCTCACTCTGGAGGGGAGATGGGGTCCAGAAAGACGGGGGGCAGAGGCTGCTTTTCACATCAACCGGATCACTCGAGGTGCTAGAGTCCCTGGTCTCCAACCAGACTCGCAGAGTGGACACCAGGGCTCTTACCTCAACCAAGGGGCTCCTGCAGCAGCTGGAGACACCGCCACTGAGGGTGGGCACGCCTGCCCACAGGCGGCTGTCGCCACCAGCCTCCCCAAGAGACTTACGCAGCAGGCAGCCGCCTGGCTCAGGCATCTGTAAATGAAGCGCTGACCTCAGCTGTCAATGTGCTGTCTAATCTGAAGGCCCCTGCTGGCTCTGCAGTTGTGCTGAAAGGGTCTGCCCTGGGAAACTCCCGAAGCCCTGTCGGGAGGCCCCAGTTCAGTAGGTGTGGGCGAGGCCCAGCCAGAGGATGGGTGAAAGGGCCCTGGCGAGTCTGAACTGTGGTGAGCGGGCACCGGTGTCGGCAAAGCCGGGGAGTGTGTGGGAGGTGAGGCTGCAGCATCACACCAGCTCAGCGCTGCCCTCAGGCAAGGTTGCGGTCACTCGTTAAAGGACAAGAACCAACTGACAACTGCTGGAGAGCTACCACAGTCCTGGGTGAGGGGCATGCCCACGGCATCCTGGGGATCCCTGTTCTTCACCAGTTCAATCCTCCTCCAGGACCTCAGCTTCCTCAGGTGTCCTGAGGACACCACAGGCCTGTCCGGCAAAACCAGAGCCCAAAACCTTTCTCCATTCTGGCTGCTCACTTGGCGGAACCAGCCAGGGAAGCTCACCCTTGCCCCTTCTTCTGGGGGCAGCGCAGCTCTCTGCTCAATGCTCCCTATGTCTCTGGGGGTCCTTGGATTAGCCCCCTGAATCCTTGGGCACAGTCCCCCCCCGGAACCCTTGCACCCCTGCTGTCCTTCCGGCATGCAGGTCCACAGAGGCCAGTTCCCTTGGCACCTGCTGACAGTGAGGCAAGCAAGGTAAGTTTCTTTCCCCTCTCCCTCTGGCCTACTCCGGCATGGCCATTATATGTGGACTGCAATTCAGAGACCGCCCAAACCTACTCCTTCAATTGCATACCCAATGAGGGGAGGGCCTCGCCAGAGGCCACCCAGCAGGGTGGAGCTGGAACAGTTCCTACCCTGAGGCCCTGAGAGGAAACAGGTACAGAAGATGACTCATGGGGAAAAAAACCCCAATAAAGGAAGCGGTCACTAGCAGTTTGGAGCCTCTGACCAGGACAGGAGAAATGGAATGACACCCCCCATGACGCAGGAACTTCACTTACAGCGCAACAAACCAAAGTCAGACTTACGGAAGGGTGCCAGAAGTCAGCAAGAGGCTCTTTACAGATCCCCTAGTCCACCATTTTACAGATGGCAACACTGAGGCCCAGAGCGGCTCAGTCACGTGAAGGCAGGTCTCAGGCAAGGAGAAGTCAGGATCTCTTTGCCCTCAGCATCAAGGAGGTCATCCAAGGCTGGCCTGGAGAGTGGTGGGGGGCAGACCACCAGCTCCGGGGCCACACCTGTCACCTTCACCCCAGTCAGGACTCCAGCAGCATCTCCCTGGAGAAACTGGACCTCATCTCCTCAAAGAGTCAGAGTCACCTCCAGGGCCCATCTGCCTTCTGCCCCCGGGGCCAGGCTCAGCCAGGCCCAGGCCACAGGCATTCCGCAGTGGCCCTCTCAGCTCTGAGGTGTGTCCAGGAGAAGCCAAGCTACCATGGCTCCCTGGAACTCCAGCGGCTGGGCAGGCGATGCAGCCTCATGTCCTCCTTCTGGATGTGCTCGTAGCAAGACTGGCAGGAGAGAGGCGAGGCTGAAGCCAGCTGGCCTGCCCGCCCCCAGCAGCACGCAGAGGCTTTAGGGTCTGACTCGGGTGCACCCACTCCCAGGTCTGGACCACTGTGTCTCCAACTCAGCCCTCAGCCACAGTCTGAGGAAAGGGGGCCTTCCCTCTCCTTCTGTGCTCAGGAACGCAGCATGGAACACACTCAGCCCTGGGGAGCCGAGGGCTGGGATGTGCTATGCCTACTTTCCCCCACCCAGCCGCTTTTAACAAGGGCTGGAGCAGGGGCTCTGTGAGGACCCCTCCCATGGAGACACACACTAGCTGTAAATGTGAGCGCATCCCCGTGATGGTGTCTGGGGCAAAAGGGGTCTGTCCCAGAAGCCAGGGCATTCCTGTCTGGGCCAACCGCTTCCATCCCTCACCTCCAGGGCCGTGAGCAGGAAGTCATACAGGCCTCCTGTGTGGAGAGGGTCCATCATGTCACGGATCAGGTGGATCTCGGCTCCCAGGTGCTGGATTCTGGAGCACCACCGCCACCACCACGAGAGGGAGAAGGGGACCATTCAGGACAGGTGCCCAGCAGCTGGGAAGGAGCCCTGGTCTGGGTGGCTAGACACCTGGGCTGTGGTCCCCGCTGTGAGTGGCACCCATGGGACCCTGGGTGGGCCTTTCTCGGTTTCAGCTTCCCCATCTGTCCCAAGAAAGGCTGTGCCCATAGATCGCAGTGTTCAAAGGCTTTGCAGTATGTCTTGGTTGGGGGCGGGCAGGGTGGGAAGGGAAGCTCCTGGGCCCACCCCCAGCTGGGGCTCACTGGGCACGAGACACCACGTAGATGAGCAGCGGCAGCAGGTCATCCATGGGCAGCTTGTGCTCCCGGCCCAGCACCCGCGACACGGTGGCCTCGATTTCCCCATATGTCCTCTCCAGCACCTCCAGCTTCTCCCGGGGGTCCACCGTGGTGCTGCAGCAGGGTAACTGACTCCAGATCAAGGCCCTCAGGTTCAGTCCCAACCAGGAGTCCCCACATTCCTGCCTCCCACGTCCCCCTCCCCAGGCTGTGGACTTACATCATCTTCTGCAGACACTCTGTGGCTGACAGGAAGCACTTGTCTCTGACCAGGGAGTGTCTCTGTGTGGTCGGGAGAGGGGGTTAGATGAGGCCTCCCCTTTCCAGGGTCAGGGCTGGTCCCCAAGCCCCTCTCCACCCGCCCCTTCCTCATCACTGGCTTCAGCACAGCTCTGCCCAGAGGGCTGAGCAACCCAGGGCAAGTCATAGCTCCACTGTAAGCCTCAGTTTAAAGTGAAGTCACTCAGTCGTGTCCGACTCTTTGAGAACCCATGGACTGTAGCCTACCAGGCTCCTCCGTCCATGGGATTTCCCAAGCAAGAGTACTGGAGTGGGTTGCCATTTCCTTCTCCAGGGGACCTTCCTAACCCAGGGATCGAACCCAGGTCTCCCACAATGTAGGCAGACGCTTTACCATCTGAGCCACCAGGGAAGTCCTAATGAACCTCAGTTTACTTGACTGTAAAGTGGGGTAAACGGTCTCCAGGAGGTGGGAGGATCAAGGTGGATACAGAAGAATTGTAGCAGCCAATGGTCACTGGGTGCTGCCCAGTTCTAAGTGCCGATGTCAACAGCTGTTGAATCCCAGGGCTTGTTGAAACACAAATTCCAAGTTCCCTCCCTGGGTTTCTGACTCAGTAGGCTTGGGTGGGTCCAACTGGCCTTTCTAACTAGTTCCCAGCAACGCTAATGTTGCCGATGCAGCAAGCACACTGAAATCCAGCGCCTCCTCTGTCCCAGCCTGCTCCCCCTCCCACAACCATCGCATGCGGGAGTCCTGGTGCTGCGGCAGTGGATGCTCCCACAGATGCCTCCACAGAAGCTTCCACAGGTGCTTTCACACATGTCCCACAACTGCGGGACACAGATCAAGGACTTCACCCACGGCCAGACAGCCAGTAAAAGCGGTGTGGCCTGCGCTTGAGCCTGGCCACTGTGGCTGCACACTCACCCGCATGGAGAACCAGAGCAGTGCAGAAAGCCTGCCCTCTTCTCCCTCACCTGCCTCTGCGGCCTGAGACTGTGACTATGAGGGTACAGAGCTGCTCGGAAGCCTGAGCAAACCCAGGGCCCAGCTGAGGTTCAGGCCCCCCCTCTCCTAGGCAGGTAACCGGCCCACCCTCTCACCTGATTGGTCGTCAGTGTGAGGTCCTTGAGGGGCCACAGGTGCCTGAAATAAGACGGGAGATGGGAGGCTTTGCCCTCTGAGTCAGAGGGCAAATTCCCTGCACCCCCATGTCCCCCAGGAGGGCTGAGCATGGGAAAGGGGCTAGGGATGCACAATGGCATCTGGGAGCAATTGTGTGGAGCGCAGGCTATAGGAGACCAGGGGGGATTCCTTGAGAGGGCAGCCCTCCATTCAGCCCCAAAACACAGTGAGCAGAGAGAGGGATGGTGCTACAGGCCAGGGGACCCTCCTGCACAAGGTCCTGGGGGTGTCCATCCAGAGAGCTCAGTTGTGGAGACTGCTCCAGGGGCTCAGTGAGCTGGCACAGGCTGGTGAGAAGTAGGGATGCCATACAACGGAAGTACAGCCAATGAAGCAGGGAGGCCAGCATGGAGGAGGTGGCACTGAGGAGGCAGGAGGGGCGCAGAGGGAAAAACCCTTAGGAAGCTGTTGACAACCAGGTCTCTGGGCTGGTGACTGGTCAGATGCAGGAAACATTCACCACAACAGAAAGGGAAACAACAGTTTTTGGGGAAAGGGGGATAGGAAGCACCATTACCTTGAGAAAAGGGGGACCAGGTGTGGGAGGCAGGAGTGCATTCATACCCTCAACACTCAGATCGAAGGGGCATGGAGGATACAGGATGTTCTGATTACTGAGGGTAGAAGGGAGGCTCTGACCTGCTTCCAGAATAGTCCTGGGTTTCCCCCTTGAGGATCATCCCTCTCCCACTCTCAGTCCAAGAGCTGGGAGCAGGTGATATTACCCCAGCCCCAGCGGTAGATACTGAGGTCAGCCTGGCCAATCTGGGCCACAGCTGGCATTCAGGGACACATTCAAGAACCTAGCCATGCCAGGGAGGAACTTTAGAGTCTCCACTAGAGCTGTTGGGAAGGAGACACCAACTCCTTGTGGGGAGAGAATAAACCTCGAGTGACTGGTGCTGTTTGTCACCACACGGGGAAACCAGAGACACACCAACAGAGAGAGAGAGAGGTTGCTTCCTTTTTCATGCAGCTGAACACCTAGATCCAGCCATACCTGAATCTAAGCCATACTAGCCACATCCTAGAACTTCATGGTACAAAAGCCAATTAACCTCTTCCCTTTTTCTCTGAAGACAACTGGAGTTGAGCTTGCATCCCCTGCTACACAAGAACTCTGGCCAACATGGCATGGTGGGGGGGGGGGGGGTGGAGGCTTACTTCTGCACGTCCAGGAACTCAAGCAGCTTGGTGTCGGGGAAGAGGCTCAGGTTGGTGATGCCCTGGCTGTAGAGACTGTCCTCCCTCTCGTGAAGAAGCAGGTAGAGAGTGAAGAGCTCCGAGTAGAAGCTGGGCAGCACGAGGGGGAGCACCAAGCTGTGCACCCGCAGGTCCCTGAGTGGGAGCCACCAGGACGGCTCAGGACCAGCAGGGCGGGGGTGGGGATCTACTCGGGGTGCCCCCAAGAGCCCTTAGAAATCCTCAGTCCACCTCAGTGTTCCTGCCTCCAGCCTCCCCCATCCCCGAGAAAACCCTTCCCAGCCCCATTCTCAGTCGTTTCACAATCAACTGACATCTGTGACCACCTTATGCTCTCATTCAGCTTTGAGAACCAACATGGCAGGCGAGGTTGGGTTTTGATCCACACTTGACTGAAAGCAAAACCAGGCCCTGATGGATGAGTGACCTGCAGCAAAGCTGTCAGCAGTCACTCCAGGCTAGTCCAGTTGGGCCTCCTAGCTTTCTGTGCTTGCTGGGATTCAGGGGGAAGTTCTCCCTAAGGTCTAACCCCGTTTCCCATGCCTCCTGCAATGCAGTAACAGAAAGCCCCCTCTGATCAGGATCCCTGGGCCTGGAATCTGAAGGCAAGTTGTGAGGTTTGGTCTTGGGGGGACTGGGCCGAGAGATTTAATGACCGACTTAATTCCTGCTCTGTGTGACCTCAGGCTCAGCTTCTGCCAGGCCTCAGTTTCCCCATCTGTGCACAGGAAGAAGGACGTGCCTGAGGAAGCTGCTCACCCTCCAGGCACCTAAGAGATGAGGGGTTGGGATAACGTGTTCAGAAAAAAGGTGCATTTGATGCATGGTGGCAGTGCCCCTTCCCAGGCTGCTCAAGGAACAGAGGTCACAGGTCTTTATGATTCCTGAATGGTCAACAAACAGCGTGTGGTCGATAGCATGAACCCCAAACATTTCCTCAGAAACACCTCTTTTCCCTGAGGGAAGTCCCAGGAGCAAGGTATAAGGATCCCCTGGAGCTGAGCCTGGCTGCACCAGGGGAGAAGACCCCACAGACTTCCTGGGGGCAGTCACCTTGTCTCTGCATCTTCATCTTCCTCTGGGGCCTCGCCCTTGTGCTGTAAGGCAACCTGCAGCAGGCCCCTGTGAACCAAAGAGAGGGGCGGTGTGGCTGCCATCTCCCACAGAATGAGTCACCCAAGGCCAGGCAGGTGGGTTCTGCTCCCAGAACCATGAAGCATGAGGCTTGCAGAGCCCAGCTGCCCAAACCTCAGCAGTGAGGGGGATGGGAGTACAGGATGTCCACCTGAGTGTCCCAGAACCCCAGAACAGAACGAACTACAGCATTTAAGGTTTCGGTTTATAATGTTTGATGGGGTCACAGCTCAGCCAGGACAGAAGATGGGCTGTGAGCCCAGGTCAGGATCAGCCTACAGTGGGGTTAGAGCCAGCCCAGAGCCTGGCTGGGGCTTGGACTCTGGCTGCAGTCAGGCCTTGTTACCACCTCCCCACCGTCTAACCCACATGCTCACCAGCTGCACACTAACCAACCCATCCTCTGCTGCTCTCTCAATCCAGACCCAAGGCAGAGGCACCATTCCTACCCAGGGCAGCAGACAGAGCTGAGGCCTAGAAAGGGCAGAGCCCCCCGCCCTGGGGACAGGGCAGTGGTTGTCCCCGAGTGCCACCGAGCTCACCTGTAGGCGGCCCAGAGCTCCTGGGCGTGCTGCTTCACCTCCTCCTGTGCCAGCCCCTGAAGGTGCTTGTTGGCCCCCATACCTGCGTATGTGGCCTGGAAGGTCAGCATCAGCGTCTGGAGCAGCTTCCCCAGGGGATGCAGAGAGTTGCTCAGAGCCTGGGCAGGTGTGACAGCCACAAAGAGATGCTCAGCCCCAGGGCAAGAGCCCGCTTCTCAGACAGGGGCACCGCGGCCTCTCAGCAAGGCCTGTCCCCTGTGGTCAGCACCCTCCCCCGTGGTCTCACCTTCCTGAGGCACTGCTGCAGGGCCTCGGGCTCCCGGTGCTGCAGCAGCTCCTCCAGGAGGTCCTCCATCCTGCCCGCCTGGTCCTCGGGGTGGGTCCTGGGGCACCACACACAACGTCTCACCCATGCCCGGGCCCGCCGCCTCCAGAAAGCCTTCTCCACCCTCCCCCCACCCCCGCCCACTCAGAGCCCACTGCCCCCAGCCCTGGGTCTGGACACCCCGTGGGTACACACCCCCCCACGCCTGGGCCTCACCTCTCACAGCACAGGTACTCCTGCGACCTGCGCAGCTCCCTTGAGCTCTGCACGTGGAAGCCCAGCAGGGCCTCCCGCAGGTCCCCGGGGCAGCCGGCACGAACAAAGTCCCGGAAGGGGCCATAGACACCCTGCCAGCGGCTCTCCACGGGGAAGACGCCCTGACCCAGCTGCCTGCGATGGAGGTGGTGGGAGACGTGGACAGGGAGGGAGCCATGTAGGACCCTGTCCAGCCCTTGGAGAGGCGGGGATATCCAGCCTGGCCAGAGTTAAGGGCCCCAGTGGGGTGGATAGACTGGGGTAGGCAGAGGGAGACCTCCAAGACTCCAGGAGGAGAAACGGGAGGCAGAGAAGGGTCAGAGAGAATCTACTCCACGGTAGAGAAAAGAGTCAGGGGCACACAGAGCCCTGGAAAGGAAACAGGAAGATCTGGAGAGCTGGAGGCCAAGTCCAGAGAGTGCGGTCTTGGCCTAAGAGAGGCGAGGGGCCAAAGCCCAGGGTTCCCCGACTCTCCCTCCTCCCACACCTGGTTCCTTCCTGAGCTTAATCCTGTCTCGGTCGCTAGGCCCAGCAGTCTGGCTGTGTGCACGTCTGGTGAGCACTGCCCTCCCCTGTCACACTTACAGATATCCCTACACCTGCACCTGACCCGGGTTCATGCCCCTAGGGCTTGCCATCCACTTCTAGCTCCTGCTATCAGAGAAAAAGAAACATGCTGGGATGATGTATCAGGTAAATCAACTTCTAAAATGCTGGCTGGCACCATTAGAACCACCAACCACATCTCAACAGACATAGCAAGAGTCACCACTTGAACATCTGTTTTCCAAAGAAGAACTCTGTCCCCATAAGGAGGAAGTATATCTGCTTTTCAAATACCCCATGATAAGGAGAGTGAATCCACTTCCAAGTTTCCTTTTTCACCCTGGCTGCCAGGGAACTCAGAGTCAAGCTAATGTTCAATTACAGTGCCCATCTGCACCTCCCTTTCTTTTAAGCTCAACTCACACTTGAATTGTCTATTTTATTGTCATTTGTTTGGTTTGGAAACTATCTTGTACCTTCCTAGAAAAAGACTCTATGTATAGAGTCTATACATAGCATTTTTCTTCAGTTCTGTGGCATATGGAGTTATCACCACATAGCCCTTGATTCCCAGAGTCTCTGATAAGGGTTGTGTGACCTGAGCTTTCTGAACTCTCCAAAGAGCTAAGAGGAGGTACAGAAAAGCCCTTCTAACAAGATCTGAGTCTTTGGGGGTAGAGACACAGGCACCCACAAGCACACCCCCCAGAAAGGCTCCAGAATGCACCGGCCAGCCGGTCAGGCTCTCACCTCTTGCAGGTACTGCTTGGATCTGGAGGGAGGGCAGCTGTGTCCAGCACACCCTGGGTATGCAGTCCCCTCCCTGACATGCTGCCAAAAGTGCCCTCCAGGGTGAAGCCATTGGGGAAGGTGACCTTGCCCTGGAAGCCGGGAGAGGAATGCAGGGATGTCTGTCCATCTGTCTGTCCAGCTGCCCTTCCACCCAATCATGACAGGCCTCATGCCCATCATCCTGGGTCACAGAGGCTAGAAACTGATGGGTGGCCTTCCCACCATCCATTCCATCTGCCCCACCCCAAGGGGCTCATGATCCTTCACCCCTGCAGGAGCCCTGACCAAGAGCTGTACCCACCACCAAGGGGCTTGTCTCTGAGGTAGAAGATGGCAAGGGAGTCAGAGAAGGGACTCAGAGGTCAGAGCAGGGGGACCACCACTGAGGCTGGGAGCGGGGAATAAGTCCAGAAGTAGGCAGTGGCCTTAGGGAGGGCGTGAGGTATTATTGGCCCCAAGGAGAGGCAATTCCTTGCTGCACAGGACTGTCCCATTCACAGCATTCTTGGTCTCTATCCATTAGATGCCACAGTACCCTCCATTTATAAAGAGAAAACAGCCCCCACATGTCCAAAGGCCCCAGCAGGGATACAACTGCCTTCTGCTGGGTCAGCTCGGGCAGAAACTTCCTGAAGGTCAATGCCTTCAGGGGACCCCACTCAAGGCACTGATGGTGGTGGTAGAGGGGGTGGATCCCTAACTCTGGGGCCAGTGGGGGACACAAGAGACCACCAGACCCTCTGCACCCAAGGCAAGCCTGCCTATGCCCTCTTGACTCACACCCAATCAAACTGCACCTTTGTGGCAGAGAAAGGTCACTGCACATGCCCCCTAGACATAGTGGAGATGGGAGAGGGCCCCCTACCTTTTCCACCCACCCTCAGTCCTGGGTCTAAGCAGGGAGATTATAGACTCCGGCCAAGGTCACAGTGCAGAGAGGAGTAGGGTCTCAGTGGCTCTCACCTTCCCCAAGAGGGTCAGGTCCCTGGTAAAAGTGCCCTCGTATAAGGAGTCATCATCAGAGAGAAGGATCCCTGGGCCCTAGAGAAGGAGTGGGGAGGGTAGGAGCAGTGGGTTAGGAAGGGCCGGAAGGCTAGGGGTAGGGAGAGGAGAAGGGTCCTGAGCCCTGGCACACCTCCTAGGACTTTTGGCCAAGTGGGATGCCAGTCCTTGGACTGCACAAACCCCACGCACCTCGATCCTGGGTTGCTCTGACTGACACCCTCAGACCTGGCTTCTCCCCTCCAGCGGCCTCTCTCAGGAGGTTTTCTGGGGGACCCTTCCCACCTACAGCTCAGGAAGTGCTGGTCTTTTCCTGAACCATCTCCACTTTCCTGTCACTGATGCCAGGGGCAGTGGAGTTCATCAGGTTCCCTTGCGGCTCTGGCTGCCAGGAAGCTTCAGAGCCAAATGGGATACAATTTGTGTTCTTATTTTTAAATCTATTTTATGTGCCTATTCTTATCTTTTCTTCCTCCTTCAATTCTTTCCAGAACAAAGTGTAACTAAACAAACAAGCCACAGTATCAATAACGGCCATCAGGCTGAGCCATACTATGTGCCAACCACCTGGCAGGGTGTGAGTTAGACAGAAGGTGGGGGTTGATATGCCCGTGCTCAGGATGCCTGGGCTTGAGACTCATTTCTGTCATTCAACAGAATGTGACACTAGGCAGGTTCTCTGACCTCTCTGAGCCCCACATTTGTCACTTGTACACTAGGGATGACAACATGAACGCCAGGGATACTGGAAGGATCCCATGGGACCATGCTGGGAGGCCTAGCCCAGAGCTAGGCACCAGGGTTTCCCTGGTAGCTCAGACAGTAAAGAATCTGCCTGTAATGCAGGAAATCTGGGTTCAATCCCTGGGTCAGGAAGATCCCCTGGAGAAGGGAATGGCAACCCACTCCAGTATTCTTGCCTGGAGAATTCCAGACAAGACAGAGGAGCCTGGCGGGCTACAGTCCATAGGGTCACAAAAGAGTCAGACATGACTGACTAACACTTCCACTTTCTTTTTTTTCAGGCACCCAGTTAATGGTCTATAAATGTGGGCAGTGGAGGTTGCTGGCATCCTCATTACCATTCACTTCATAATTGCTATTCCAGTGAGTCATTACAATAAGTAGGTAACCTGAGCTGCTGAAGGGAAAAGTGAGGCTGGGAGGGCCAGGGACTCGGCCAAGGCCAGGGTAGGCAGGCAGCAGAACTGGATTCTGGCCCAGGTTTGGGCTCGCTCTAGCACATCATTACCCTGATTCCTGCCCCATCCACCCCTGACCAATTTCAGTTTGGCTCTGGGGCCCCAGAGCAGGGAGAGGTGGCTCAGGACACATGTGGGTCTCTGTACTCACCACCATCTTGTCTGCCTGGAAGGTGCCCTGGTAGCAGACACCCGCCTGGGTGACCATGACCCCTGGGCCATGGCGCTGGTCAGCCTGCCACATGCCAATATAGCGCTCGCCCCTGGGGAAGGAGACAGGATGGCTGGAGTTGGATGAGAATTGTTCCCATGCACCTTCTGTGTGCTCTGCTGATATGGGACCCAGGGCGGGGGGCAAGGGGCAGGTAAGGAGCCAGGGCATGAATTCACTCAAGTCAGACATGGGGAGGTGAGATCAGGACCCACAAGAGGAACAGAGGGTAGAGGAGAAAGGAAGCCTGCCTGGGGGAGGGCATCGTGGCAGGCTTCTTGGGAGAGGTGGCAGGAAGGACAGATGGAGTGAGAGTGCCACTGTAACACATGCAAAGTCATGGAGGTATCAGTATACGTCAGATATGTGGGGGCGTTCAGTAGACTAGAGGGCTTCCCTGGCAGCTCAGCTGGTAAAGAATCCACCTGCTAATGCTCGGTCCCGGGGTTGGGAAGATCCCCTGGAGAAGAGAACGGCTACCCACTCCAGTATTCTGGCCTGGAGAATTCTATGGACTGTACAGTTCATGGGGTCGCAAAGAGTCAGACACGACTGAGCGACTTTCACTTCACTTCAGTGGTCTAGAAGGCTGGGGAGTACACAGGTGTCAAGGCACGGATGAGTTCAGAAGAGCAGGCAAGGCCTCAGATGCCAGGCCAAGGACATTGGGCTTTGTCTCAGCCCAGAGAACCCGGAAGGGCTGTGACCGTTTGATGGGACCAGATCATGGGGTCACAAACTCCTCTCTGACAGAGCAGGGAGGGGCTGGAGTTGGAGGTGGGGGGTGCACCTGCAGTCAAGGTCAGGGTCCCTCAACCTGAGCCTCAGCAGCAACTGAGGGCATGGAGCAAAAGTGAGGGGCTTCACTCAGATTGGGAGAAAATAATAGCAAACGAAGCAACAGACAAAGGATTAATCTCAAAAATATACAAGCAACTCCTCCAGCTCAACTCCAGAAAAATAAATGACCCAATCAAAAAAT